TCCAATGGATAGTAGAAGTCATGCCATGGTGGTGTCCAATCATTGTATTCTTGCACAGTGTATTCATATCTGAGACCAAAGGTCATTCCATGAGTTATTGGTCATATTGGCTCTGTGATCCCTTGAAGCTTAGGACCAAGACCCTTGCCTAGTTCATACCTTAAACACAGCAGCATACTTAGCACCATGTTGCTTCACCATCGTCCTTTCTCGTCTGTATTCACCCGATCAATGCTGTAGAATGTTTCTTCTCCCAAATTTCTTCAATTCCCAATTGTCGGCACAGTCTGGTTGGTATAGATAGGATTACTTCCATCCCCATGGATAACTACCTCCTGGTGATTTCACTCAAACTTCACGACCTGATGTAAAGTAGAAGCAACTGCCCCAGCCGCGTGTATCAATGGTCGTCCCAACAACAAGTTATAGGTAGCGGAGGCGTCCAGCACCTGGACTATTTGTTTGCAAGTTATTACAGGCCCAGGAAGAAGTAATACAAGATGACAGATTACATATTGAATAAATACAAGCCCGATGAAGTAATTACATGCCCACTACAAAAATAACCCAGGAACATCCCCAAGCCTTTAGTGGTCCTAATCCTCGCACAACAGTAGACCCAAACACTGGCTTACCAAAGTAACCTGAGTTCAATGCTCGAACACAACATCTATGGCACAACACCAGGCCCAACAAATAACTTACTTACCAAAATGGATGCCAAAATAGTCATACAGGTGACAAAATACTCAGCCTTAACTAAATAACTTACACACTTAATTCTTAAAGTTGTATCTAATGGTAGCTCTAGCCAAGGCATATAAACAAAATCACACGAGGCATTCACAAGGTACACATATGCGTATATTCTCTTAAAATAAGTTAAAGTGGTAGGAATAGTCATCATGGGATAGCAGACTACTTCAATTAATGTTTCAAAATAAATCACCATCCAGGACTAGCCTAAAGCATTTTAGACATGAGGTTTGAACATGAAAACTAGGAAAATCTTAGTAGAGCACAGCCTTTACATGGTATATTTAACATGGGAGTCATAACACCACAGGTTTATGGTCGTGCAATTACTTAGTTGAATAGGGGAAAACTTTAGCATGTCGAACATTAGTCACAATACAAGAGACATGTCCATTTCAGAAGCACAATAAGCAGGTAACAAATCTATTACTAGTTGGCCACATATAGGAGAAAAGGGCTAGTTATAATGTTTACTCTAAAGTTATTAACTAGTACTGAAGAATACAGAATTGACCAAGTTAACAAACACACAATAGAATCACAAATTGCATGAGACCAGGTCATAACGAATAGTAGAACCCAAGAAAGGTAGCAGGTTAGGCATGAATCACTTGGCAGGAATTAGAATACTTCCTAGGCATGAGTTGGTTGTCATAATAATGCAGAACAAGGCAGAGAGCCAAACTCAGGATTAACCTCAGGTATTAGCATAACAGAGTAGACTAAACAGGTTTAGGAAAGCAAGAACTCATTTATGCTAAAAACATGTGATAAATACATCTCATAACTAGAATCCAAGGAAGTTTAATATCAAGACACAAGATGACCTCAAAGAAAGCTAAGTTACAAGTAAGGCGGCATAGTAGAGCATTATTTTATAGAAGATTCAGAGACATGAATACACAAAACACATAATATGACAAAAGAGAATGAAATTGATGTGGCCAAAGAGACTTACCAGTTGTAGATGAACAAACAAACAAATAAGTATAACAGTGCCAGTAGTACTTTAATAGCAAAGAGAGCAATAGAACCCAAAACTCAGTGCGTCAGAGTTTCCAAGGGTTTCATATGAACCCCGAGCAGTGCTCGCATAGAGAAGATCAGTTAAACAAATTTTGGTGGCCTTGGCTTTCAGCCGTTCGAGAGCCAAAAGTATTTGAATAAGAGGAGTGAGTAAGTGAAGGAGTAGTAATGATTTTTCAGTCCGTTTTAGGGGAATTAGGGGAGGGGTTTATATAGTGTTGAATTGACAGATTATAAAAGGAAAACATCAATAGAATCATAGAAATAAGGAAAAAATTACATGCAGAACCTATTCCAAATCGGAGTGGGTAAAAACCGGACAAACCCTAATTTGACAGGAAATCAAATATTAGCCAGAGATCTTGATGAATCGGACCTATATGACCTGGTTGTTGAGTGTACCAAGTCAATAACATGGTGATTATCCAGGATCAGATTCAAACAAGCCTCCGACTTCCTTAAATAACCTAGTGCCAAATGAACAATATCAAGGAAACAAGAAAGAATCATTATGAGTACAAAAAAAAGGAAAGAAAATATGAAAGATCTCTATATTATCTTGGTACAGACTGGGATTTGGGTAGAGCGGCTGCTAGGGTTTTCAGAGAAGAGGTGGGAGTTGAGAGTATTCATAGGCGGCTGATGGACGGAAAATGGGTTAGGGTTTGGGGTTATGCAGATATAAGAAGAAAGGGGAAATTATTGTGGGACGTTGATCTTGAGAGACAACAGTTGTTATTTTAAAGAGAGAGATGGGGCGGTTCAGTCGGGTGCCGACCGCGTTGAAATTAAAGGGATCGTTTGGTTTGGGCTGGGAGATTGGGCCAAGGATTTTGAGGGGTTTGGGCCAGTAATTTGGTCTAAAAATTGGCCTTGTTTAAACCAGATTTTAAATAAATGAAGCAACAAAAAAATAAATTTATAAAATAGATAAAAAAAATTATAAAAATGCTATTTATGCAACTTAATATTCTAAAAATAATAACAGAAGATCGTAAAAATATAAAAAAAATATTATTTTGACCTAAATAAGATAATTAATGCAATTAATTGTATAGTATATGCTATTACTGCAAATATCGTAAACAATAATGAAAATGCAGATATAATTGTACAAACGGAGTTAAATATATAAAATGTGCATATGGGTGTAAATGAATAATTTAAATTACTCGAAGTAACTTAGGGGAATAATTAGTAAATGTTTCAGTAATTAAAAATATTAGAAACAAATTTTAAAAGCTTTGAAAATTATAGAAATCACTTATAAGACCTCTATAAATTGGGTAGTAGTGCAATAGGATATTTTGAAAGTATATGAAATACTTTATAAAATATTAGAGTAAAATTGGGTAACAACATTGATTGGTTCCGCTCTGAGAAGATTTCGGGTTGATTTAGACCCTATGGTTCTTTACTTAGAAGCTTAAGTTAGAAATATTGATCAAACTTTGACTTTGGTGAAAACGATCCTGGAACAGTGTTTTGATGGCTCTGATAGCTTTGTATCGTGATTTTGGAATTGGGCGTATATCCGGAATCAAATTTGAAGTCCGTAAGTTGATTTGTATTGTTTTGCTGAAAATTAGCAGTTTGACGCTTAGAAGTTGACCAACGATTTACTTTTCACTATATGGATCATAAATTAGTTTTGGGACTTGCAATAGGTCTGTTATGCTATTTAGAACTTATTTACAAAATTTGGTGTCATTTGGAGTTTATTTGATAGGATTCGGACGCTTGGTTACAATTCCATAAGTTCTTGAACTCTACTTTGAAATTCATGCGTTCTGATGTCTGATTCCTAGTTCTCGATGTTATTTTTGTATTTTGATCACATGAGCAAGTTCGTATGATGTTCTTAGACTTGTGAGGATGTTTGCCTTGGAGCCCCGGGCTCGAATGAGTTTCGAACATGCTTCAGAGTGTTTTGAACTGAAAATAGTAATATGGTGTGTTGGTGCCTCTAGTGTCACATTTGCGAACACCAGGGTCGCAATTGCGGCCTGTACGCGGCTAAAATTAGAGAGCCCAATTTTACGACCGTTGTACCTCACCGAAGTTTCACCTTGAAGGCCCGAGGCACAACTCGAGGTTCGTTCTCGAGGATCCACTATGATCGACCTCGGGGCAGTGCAAATCGATGGTTATCATGGGCGAGTGGGAAATTCCCAAAGTGCGTGATCAAAGCTGACAAAACCTGCAAGAGAAACACTAGTCTGTACCAATCTAGCGAATAGCTGTACCAGCTTTTCTTTGTAATAATTACTCATGTACTATGTTGGGTTTCCCCTCCTATATAAAGGGGACTCTTACTATTTTCTAAGAGACAACACACAACATTGAATACAAGAAATAGAACATTTTCTACTCTCTATCTTAAACATATTCTCCTTTGATCTTATTACTTACATTCATTGCTTACATTTATTGTATTTCATTGATTCTTCTTCATTTATTACTCATTATTGATCATAAAAGAGCCCTCATCAAGGCCTTTAAAAGTGTTAGTTCTCCGTCGACTATCCCCAACCTAACGTATCACTCGACCTCGAGGCCCTGTATCAGCCAGCTCGAGGCCCCGATTCTCAGCCACTCGGTTTGCTTGATACGTTACCTTCAAGATCTTATCCTATTTTCTAGTCTCTCACTTAGCATCCATTGCTTAACAACTAGTATAAAAATAAATCACGTATTTTTAGAACCACAAAATCAAATCTAATTGTAATTACCATTTTCAAGGTAAACAGTTTGGCGCCCATCGTGGGGCTAAAAATAATAGTGATTGTTTTCTTGCTAGCTTACTACATAACGCAAGTTATCTTTCACGCTTTTTCTTGTCCAAGAATCTTTTATTTTAGGTCAAAATGTCAAACTCAGTGAATGCACATGGGAACAATGGTCCTAATGACCATGGAGAAAATGGGGTAGCTGTTTCAGGTGTCGGTGTACCACCGCAAAACCTTGAGGATGCACCCGAACCAATTCCCGTGGACGTGGTCTCGCGCAACGCCCAACACGTCGATGTAAGCTCCCACACCGACATGGGTATACGCCAAGAGAACAACCAAGAAGCTCGAAAAAACCTAGCCCGGGAAAGAAGAGAGGAAGGCGGGAGAAACGGAACGGAAAAACCCTAGCACATCGTTCATATGATCATCGGAGGGACCGACGTTCCCCAAGGACCCGTGATCAAGCGGGCAAAGGTTTTCGTCGTCATGGAAGGGCAAATTCGGGGACGCATGCCCGAGGACGTCCTTGCCTTCAGTGAAGAGGACTTCGAGACCTTGTCTCATCCCCATAATGACGCGCTCGTAATTTCATTTCTCTTGAATAACATCCAAATAAAATGTGTGCTCGTGGATCCAGGTAGCTCGGCCAACGTAATCAGGCTGAAGGTAGTGGAGCAGCTCGAATTGCTCAGTCAAATCATACCTACCTCTCGAGACCTCTGCGGTTTCAACATGGCCGGTGAAACAACGAAAGGGGAGATCACCCTCCCGGTCAACGTGTCTGGTACAGTTCGAAACACAAAATTTCATGTCATCGAAGTTGACATGAGATATAATGCATTACTTGGAAGGCCACGGATACACAACATGAGGGCAATACCGTCAACTCTTCACCAGAAGATAAAGTTTTCAACAGAAGACAGTATAAAAATGGTACAGGGAGAACAGCATGCAGCTAAGGAGATGTTCGCGGTTCACGAGGAGCTACCAATCTCAATACCCTCCACCTCGGAGGAGCCGGAGGACAAACAGACCCCCGAGAACGATGAAAAAGACTTCCTGGCCCACTGAACCTTCATTGCCCCCGAAGAATCGGACGCAATAAAATCAACGGTTGAAGAGCTTGAACAAGTCATTTTGATCGAGCATCTCCCAGATCGGAAGGTATACCTACAAACGGGATTAACCCCCGAACTCAGGAGAAAATTCATTCAATTCCTTATTAGTAACATCGATTGCTTTGCGTGGTCCCATTTAGATATGACAGGGATGCCGCCAGAAATAACCACCCATCGACTAAGTGTCGACCCCAGGTTCAAACCGGTGAAGCAAAAAAGAAGACCTCATCCAAGGTAAAACATGCGTTCATCAAGGATGAGGTAACAAAACTCATCAAGGATCTATTAGGGAAGTAAAATATACCGAATGGTTGGCCAATGTGGTGGTAGTTCCTAAAAAAGGGAATAAGTTAAGAATGTGCGTGGACTATAAAGACTTGAATAGAGAATGCCCTAATGATTCATTCCTGTTGCCCAACATCGACCGCTTGATCGATGCTACGGCCGGCCACGAGATCCTCACCTTTCTCTATGCCTGCTCGGGGTATAATCAAATACAGATGAACCCCGAGGATAGGGAAAAAACTTCGTTCATCACGAAGTATAGTACGTACTGCTATAATGTGATGCCCTTCGGGCTAAAAAAATGCGGGAGCCACATACCAACGCCTAGTTAATAAAATGTTCGAAAACGAAATAGGCAATTCCATGGAAGTTTACATTGATTATATGCTGGTTAAGTCCCTGCGCGCAGAGGACCATTTAACTCATTTGCAGGAGACATTCGAAATCCTCAGAAGCTACAACATGAAACAAAATCCCGATAAATGTGCCTTCGGAGTGGGTTCGGGCAAATTCTTAGGCTTCATGGTGTCAAACAGGGGGATTGAGATCAATCCCGATAAAATCAGAGCCATCAACGGAATCACGGTGGTGAACAATGTAAAGGCCGTGCAATGGCTAACTGGACGAATAGCAGCTTTGGGCCGATTCATATCAAGGTCATTAGACAAGAGTCATCAATTCTTCTCCCTACTCAAAAAGAAAACCAGCTTCGAATGGACTCTGAAATTCCAACGTGCTTTATAGGAGTTGAAGCGATACCTGACAAACCCACCTTTACTACACACCCCAAAGGAGGATGAGACACTGTATTTGTACCCGGCTGTGTCCGACGTAGCGATAAGTGGTGTGCTGGTACGAGAAGAGCAAGGTACGCAATTCCCTGTCTATTATGTAAGTCGGACCCTGAGAGATGCCGAAACCAGGTATCCGCACCTAGAAAAGTTAGCTCTTGCATTGATAAGTGCATCTCGAAAATTATAGCCTTATTTCCAATGCCATTGTATTTGTGTTTTAACAACATATTCTCTCCGAAGCATATTGCATAAGCCTGAACTGTCAGGCCGTCGGGCCAAATGGGCAATCGAACTTGGGGGGTACGATATCGAATACCAACCCCGAACGGCTATCAAGTCCCAGATCCTGGCGAATTTTGTGACCGACTTCACACCTGCCCTCGTGCCCGAGGTAGAGAAGGAACTTTTACTAAAAACGGGCACATATTCAGGGTATGGACCTTGTTCACCGATGGCGCCTCGAACGTGAAAGGGTCCGGACTCGGTATAGTCCTGAAGCTACCTACGGGTGGCATGATTAGGCAATCTATAAAAACAACAAAATTGACTAACAACGAAGCCTAGTATGAGGCCATGATTGTAGGTCTGGAATTGGCCAAAGGCCTAGGAGCATAAGTCATCGAAGCAAAATGTGATTCCCTTCTGGTAGTAAATCAGGTAAATGGGAGCTTCGAGGTTCGAGAAGGCAGGATGCAAAGATATCTAGACAAAATTTAAGTTAGACTGCACCGCTTCAAAAGATGGACTCTGGTCCACATACCTCGAGAACGGAATAGTGAGGCCGATGCCCTCTCAAATATGGGGTCATCTATCGAGGAAGATGACATACTTCCTGGGGCTGTTGTTAAGCTATCCAAATCAGTGATCGAGGAAGGCCACGCCGAGATCAACTCCACCAGCCTGACATGGGATTGGAGAAACAAATATATCGATTATTTGAAAAGTGGGAAGCTACCCGCGGATCTAAAAGAGTCGAGGGCTCTGCGAACCAAAGCAGCCCGATTCTCGCTCGACGAAAACGGAACTTTATACAGGAGAACCTTTGATGGGCCCCTAGCCATATGTCTGGGGCCGGGGGACACAGATTACGTGCTCCGAGAAATCCACGAGGGCACCTGCGGAAATATCTCCGGTGTCGATTCTTTAGTCTGAAAGGTGATCAGAGCAGGTTACTATTGGGACAGCATGGAGAAAGATACCAAAGAATTCGTCCAAAAATGCGACAAATGCCAGAGATTCGCACCGATGATTCACCAACCCGGTGAACAGCTACATTCGGTCTTGTCACCATGGCCGTTCATGAAGTGGGTAATGGACATCGTCAGACCCCTAACGACGGCGCCAGGTAAAGGTAGATTTATTTTATTTATGACCGACTATTTTTCAAAATGGGTGGGAGCGCAGGCCTTCGAAAAGATAAGAGAAAAAGAAGTCATTAACTTCATCTGGGACCATATCATGTGCCAGTTCGGAATTCCTTCTGAGAAAACGTGTGATAACGGGAAATAGTTCATCGGAAACAAAGTAACACAGTTCCTCGAGGACCACAAAATCAAAAGAATCCTGTCAACACCCTACCACACATGCGCAAACGGTCAGGCTGAGTCCACAAACAAGACCATCATTCAAAACTTGAAAAAGAAGTTAGAAAGTGCAAAGGGGAAATGGAGAGAAATATTACTCGAAGTACTATGGGCATATTGAACAACTCCAAAATCAAGCACAGGAGAAACGCCTCTCTCTGGTATATGGCGTCGACGCTTTGATACCGATCAAGATCGGAGAACCAAGTGCCATGGTCCGACACGCCACTGAAAGCTCAAACAATGAAGCCATGACTGCGGCTCTCGAGCTATTGGATGAAAAGTGAGAAGCTTAGCTGGTCCGAATGGCTGCCCAAAAACAAAGGATCGGAAGGTACTATAACAGGAGAACAAATCTCTGACATCTCAGAGTTGGGGACTTGGTCCTGAGGAAAGTCACCCTGAATACTCGAAACCCTAATGAAGGAAAGCTAGGCCAGAACTAGGAAGGACCGTACCGCGTCCTCGCAGTGATCGGCTAAGGGTCCTACAAGCTCGGTACCATGGAAGGCGAACAGCTTCCGAGCAATTGGAACATATCAATGCTCAAACGCTACTACTGCTAAGGAATTCAATGGAAAATGCTGAAGAATCCCCCCAGCTTGAAGACCTTAGGTTTTAAAGATCGCGTTGCACTCTTTTCCTTTAACCGGATTTTATCCCAAGAACGGTTTTACCGGCAAGGTTTTTAATGAGGCAACACCTATATGCTATCTAAGGAGAACTTAACAAGTATTTAAGTCTTCTCTTCAATCAACCTCGAATACTGGAGGGCACCCCCTGGGAGATCACCCCCTCGAAGAAGTCAAGCTGAGCCAAAAAGGGTCATGATAGGAAAATGATGTATCGGGCCAAACGACCGAATGAACCGTGTCCGTGTAGAATAATTGAACCCTTGATGATGGAAACGTGTATACTTGTCCGAAGTAATCAGGGAATATTTTTCCATCAAAGCACTTTGCGCTTCAAAGAAACCCATTATTTTTTTCCAAACGGCTGCAGAGCCAGAAATTCCCCGAACACTCGAGGAGTGACGTCAAAAAATCGAAGCCATATGACCTCCGGGTCGGAAACTTCAAACTCGTAAGCCCTCAATGAGGTAACTCCAAATCAGCTCCACAGCCAAAAGACTCTCGATGTCTCGGGGACTGTCGCCAACGGTCACCACATCAATTTGTCAAACTCGAGGCTATAAGACCCCATGCGGGCAACCTCGAGCTCATAAGACCTTCATAAGGCAATACCAAACCACCTCAAGCAAGGCATGAGTTATACTTGTACCAAGTAACCATATCTGTAAGACCTCAAGCAAGGCATGAGTTATACTTGTACCAAGTACCCAAATCTGTAAGACCTTGAGTAAGGCATGTTAAAATTTATAAGACCTTACAAAGGGCATAATCCCTATCTTAAAAGTGAGGCAATATATTCGAACTAGTAAGACCCCTAAAAAGGAATACCCTCGATGTAGACGCCGAAGCTACTTAAGTCGGGGACTAAAAGGCTACAGCCAAATACAATGACTACGGTCACGAGGCTGTACCAGCCAAACTAACGTGACTCAGGGATGCCCAACCGTCGCCAATAAACTCACAGGCCTTCATACATCGGAAATACTTCGAAAAGAACCAGTTAATCAAGCTACCCTCGGCATAAGCAAAAGAGCTTCGACCATGTCAGCTCTGAATAGCAGGCTTCGAAACATTCAGCCATCGAGCGAAACCTCTCAGGGTGCTCGCCCATCGTCACATAACGTCTCGCAATCGAGGTTCTTATCGAACCGTCGAAGAGTCGGATGAACACAAGAAACTTTAACGAGGGGAAAATAAGCCTATACTAGAGGTCTTACCGACCCTACGCATAAGAGCCATTGTCGCCAGCTTAAATTAAAAGTCGTGCCGACCCTACACATAAGAGACACTGTCGCCAGCTTAAATTAGAGTTCGTACCGACCCAACACGTAAGAGCCAAGACGCCAGCTCAAAATTCGAAAACTTAAGGGATAGTGAGCTCGAGTCGAAATCCGACTCGAAGACTGAACCCGAAACAGTTAACTAAAAAGCGCCTAAAGGCAAATGCGTAGGAGCCTAAGCGCCAGCCTATATTAGAGGTCGTACCGGCGCAACGCGTAAGAGCTTAAGGGCCGGTCCAAAAGAGCCTCAGGGCAGATGAGAGATCGCACCGACCAAATACGCAAAAGCTCAAAAGCCCGGTTAAATAGCATCAGGGCCGATGAGAGGTCGCACCGACCAAATACGCAAAAGCTCAAAAGCCCGTTTAAATATCCTCGG